CCGCGCCCCCCAGCCAGGCCCCCCCCCGCCGGCTCGGCTCCCAGCAAGGACAGCCGGGGCTTGGGGGTCCCGAAGCCCAGCGAGAACAGAGGAGGGCGGTGACTCAAAAGAGCTCAAAATCTTCCCAGCGAGAAGGAAAGGCTTGGGGCTCACACCATCCCCCTCGCCTTCGCCTCAGCATCCTTCCCTCTGTCACCCACCACCCTGGGAGCGCCGTCCCTGGCATCACCCCGGGGACCTGCTGGCCTCTGCTGCCCATGGGGGGGATTGAGGGAGCAGGTCCTGGCAGGGAGCTGGCTGCGCCCACGCTACCTGATGGGACGCTGGTCCGAGTAGTCCATCTCATAGCTCTGCATGGAGTCGGTGTAGGAGTCACGGGAGCTCTGCTGCTGGTGCCTCATGGGGTACTGGTGGACGGAGGCGTTGGGCTGGGAGGTGGTGTAGTACGGCGGCGGGATGCTGTTGCTGGTCTCACTGCGGTAATCGCTGTCCCGGTCGTCCACCATGCTGTCGGGGTCATCATCTGCAAGGGGCTGTGGTGAGCAGGACGGGACGGCCCCGCGGCTGCTGCAGCCAGGGATGCCCCAAATCCACCCCACACCCGGCACAGCCCTGCCACTGCCACCACTGTGTCCCCACCGCTGTGGGACCGGGCTGGAGAGACAGACCCAGGGAGGGGTGAAGGGTAAGCTGCATGCGTTCCCCTCTGCAGAAAGGGGGTTTGGGGGACAGGAGGAGGGCAGAGGGGGGAAATGGGATGTACAGAAGGGGGGAAGAGGAAGACAGGCTGCGGGGACCGTCCCTCTGCCATAGAGGCAAAGCTCGAGCTGCTCATTGCCACCAGGGCACCCCGAGGGCACAGAGCCTCATGGTGCCATGACCCTGCCAGCCTGTGGGGACAGCCCTGCCCAGGACAGGGCGCTCCATGCCTCCATCCTCACCCAGCACAGAGCCACAGCACGAGGCCACAGGCTGGACCGGAGCTCCAGGTCCCCTGAGCCCCATGGCACGGCAAAGGGGGATGCGCTGGGGACCGCCAGGCTGGGAGGGGAGGAGGGGACAGGATACTTACTCTGCTGTTCTCCCCAGCCAAAATAATTCCAGTTGCCTACAAAAAAAAAGGGGCAGAGACAATAAGGATGGAGGCAGCTCTGGGGCAGCAGCAGGAGCTGGCTGGGAGGAACCAGCATCTCCCAGGCACGGTGGCACCGAGCTGGGCTGGGGACAGTGCCCCGGGATGGGTTGGGGACAGCACCCAGGATGGGGCACATTGGCACTGAGCTGTGCTAGGGACAGGGACTTGGGCTGGGCAACGCCGTATGGGAACAGGATAGGGATGGGGCCTAGGGACAGGCGCAGTGGCACTGAAGTGGACTGGGGAGAGTGCCTGGGGCTGGGCACAGGGACACTGAGACAAGCTGGGGACAGTGCCTGGGGCTGCGTACGGGGACACGGAGCCAGGCTGGGGACAGTGCCTGGGGCTGCGTACGGGGACATTGAGCCAGGCTGGGGACAGTGCCTGGGGCTGTGTATGGGGACACCAAGCCAGGCTGGGGGGGAGCACCAAGCCAGGCTGGGGACAGTGCCTGGGGCTGTGTATGGGCACACCAAGCCAGGCTGGGGACAGTGCCTGGGGCTGGGCACAGGGACACCGAGCCAGGCTGGGGACAGCGCTATGGCTGGGCACAGTGGCACTGAACTGCACAGGGGGACAGGGCCCGGGGCTGGGCACAGGGACACTGAGCTGTGCGTGGGACAGGACCAGGCTGTGCTTAGCCCTGGCGTGATTACAGAAGGGGAAACTGAGGCACGGGTTGGGACAAACTGAGCTGCCACCCCAAATCCCCCAGACCCCTCTGCCAGTGCCCCCAGTGAGCCCCCCCTCACCAGTCTCACTGCCCCTCACCCAGGCCCTCCACGGGACCGTCCTTACCCACCCCATGGCCATGGCCCCCCCCGGCCCTCTCCCTGGGGCTCAGCCCAACGGGAGGGTTCACACATTGTGGGGCTGGGGGACAGCAAAGGAACACTGGCAGACACGGGAGGGAGGATGGGAATGGGGACGGGGACAGGGTGGGGGTGAGGTTGAGCCCCACTTGGGTTGGGGTCCAAGGCAGGCACGGAGCCCACTCCTGCGCGTCCCCAATGCAGGGAGCGGGGGGAGACGGGGCAGCGGGGGGGTCCTGCAGCGGGGCAGGGGCAGGGCAGCACTTACAGCACTGGGAGCTGTGGACGGGCAGAGGCTTTTCCTGTTCCTCCTGGAAGGCATACTGGGGAGAGAAAGGCGGGTGAGGGCTGCCTGCTCACGGCACCGCTGCCCCCTGCCCAGCGCCCCCGGCCTGACGCGGCACTGCCTTACATCGTCCTGGTCCCGCATGGCATTGAGCTGCTCCAGCTTCTTGGCCCAATACCTGGCCTCCTCCTCGGGGATATCTGCAAGGGCAAAGGCCCCACGTGGTGCACAACCCCCCCGGACACAAAACAGTCCCCCAGCTTCTGGGGCTACAAGATCAGACCCCCAACCCCAACCCCACATCCTGTGAGCACCCCTGGGGCTGGGGGCAAGGAAGGATGCACCCCAGTCCTGGGGCGCCTGGGGACGGTACCCACCCAGCGGCAGCTCGAAGCGGGTATCAAGGAGGATTCGGTGGAAAGTGGGGTCCTTGGTGCCTGAAATCTCGTTGTCGGTCATGATGACCTGGGAGTCAAGCGTGAGCCATTCCCCAGGGCCCTCCTGCGGGCAGAAATGGGGGTGAGGGGAGATGCCAGGGATCCCCCTTCCCCAGCCCCACAACCCCACACGCATGCAGGGTCTGGCCCCAAGCAGGGTCCTCCCCAGGCAGGGAAGGGAAGGCTTTGCCCCCTGCCCAAGGATGGCCGGGGGGGTTACATGTCCCTTAGGGTCCGGCGGGGGGGTGGACGTGCCTGGCTCCCTACCTCATTGGACTGCCGGATGGTCCGGAGGGGCCTGTGCACGCTCCCCCTCACCCCCACTTGCCAAATGACACCTCCGGAGCTGAGGCTGAGCCTGGGGTCCCCTTGCCACCCCCCAGCCCTTCCTCTGGTCCTGCCATGTCCAACCACCCAGGAGTCCCGGCCCCCCCGGGGTGGGCAGGAGGGGGGGAGGCCGCTTACCTTGGGGCCCGTCGAACTTGGCCTTTTTCACTGCGGGACAGAGAGGGAGGGAAGAGATTCAGCCTGAGAGCCCTGGGGGGGGGGCTGGGACCCCCACCAGGGTGCCGAGGGGGTGGAGGACCCCAGGCCTGGCCACCACAGCCCCTCCCCCCCAGCTGCAAGTTGGGGGAAAGCGGTGGGATCCCTCCTGCTGGTGTAAATCAGGAGTCCCCGGTGCTGGGCACGAGGGAGAGGGATCAGGCAGGAGCTGGAGGTGGGCACTGGAGGGGAGCAAAGGACCCCCCCAAAAAACCTGCTGCTTTGGGACAACTTGAAACATCTCATTGCAACCGCAAATGACCCTTCTGTCATTTAACCCCCCTTGCGCCCCCTCCCACACCCCACTCCCACTTCTTAATTCGGATCCATTTGGGGAAACAGATGATGTTACCATACACATCCCAGGGGTAAAAGGGGGGTTTGGGGGAACCTTCCCCAGCTCCAGCCCCCGCCATGGCGCACAGGCCCAGCAGCGCCAGGGTCCCCCTAATCGCTGCCCCAGACCTTGTACAAGAACCCCGGGGGAGGGCAGGGGGAGGCTGTAACCCCCCCACGCCCCCCAGCAGCCCCAGGGGTGGTAGAGATGCCCCCCCCCTCCACCGCTGCAGCAGGGAGCCCCCCGCTGCACCCCAGTCCTGTCCCCCTCCCAGGGGCACTAAGGGGGTGATTCCATGGGTGGGGAGTTGCATCTGGGCCAGATCCTGCTCAGCACCACGGGAACAAAAGCCCCCGATTCTGGCTGATCTGCCCCCAGCTTTACACCAG